GTCTGCTAATTTTTAACAAAATCCGTTCATACTCATGAATAACCTTCCGTGTGTTGATGTTAAAGAATGGGAGAAATGTGCTATAGCTGTTTAAATTTCTTTTATTTTCATTTCCCAAGTACTTTCGATCTTCTTCCAAGATCATCTGCAGGGGTGCAAGTAGAACAAAACTATATGTTGTTCATTAGTACAAGTATTTATACAAAGTTGTGCATTGTTATCAAGATAATAATAAAATTAAATCTATAAAACCTTTAGAACTAAGCAATCATAAAGTAAATTTAGAGTATTTAGAAAAATAAAAACATACAAGTTAAAAATTGATCAGAAAACACCGTAATCGTAAAATTATATAGTTCAATCCACCTTCTAATCGTAATGTCCAAAATATAGCGGAAGAATTTTCCTAATTTTAATCCATAAGCATTTTAACCATTCAACAACATTCAAAAAGATTTTTAACAAAAGTAATGTTAAAATTAGCTATAGCCGCGTTAGTAACATAGATAAAAATCATATTCCAGCATAACAACTTTATATTAAACAAATATATTTCCAACAAACACAGCGTAAATATTTCTAAAAACAAATGCAACTGCCGAAAAAATATGATCTGTCCAGGTTGGGGGGTTCGGGAGTAGTACGCAGGCCCTGCGAAACTATTTCAGCAACGAAGCAGGCCATCAGACCAAGGTTAAAGCTCTCAGAGAATACTAACATATATTTTTATCTAATGCCTATTAACGGCAACGCCTCTTATTTTCAAATCACTACTGACACTTAAGAACCAAATGAATTTATATCTTATTTCCCAACGGAGTACAACTATTCATTGTTAGAATACAAGAATAACAGGAATTAACATATTGCAGAATATCAGTTTCTCAAAACAAAAACTATTTGAAACAGTCTTCTTATTCTTTGTATCGTGTCCCTTCAGAACGTTGGTGAACACGACTCTCCATAATTTCCCGCCTGTAGTAAATGTTGCCATTTTGCTATCTATCCTAAATCCTTTACGTAAGCTCGTAGTTATGCAGATGACACAGTGTTGATATGTTAAGAAATGGACAAGGTCCGACAATTTATTTATTAAAGACATTTTTTTTTTATGTTTAACGTTGTTATTTTATAGATACAAGTATTTAAGCAAATGCTCTGTTTATGATAAACAGTATTCATTAAATAAACATTCAGGCCGGTAAATGTTATTTAATACTGTTTATCATAAACAGAGCAGAGATACTTGTATCTATAAAATAACAACGTTAAACATAAAAAAAAAAATGTCTTTAATAAATAAATTGTCGGACCTTGTCCATTTCTTAACATATGACGTCATTTGTTTACATTCGATACGCCAGAGCAGTTATGAATGTACGAGATTCATGGAAAATTGGAGTTTATAAGCAGTAAATTCGACTTTGTCTACCGATTGGTTCTTTGTGGCCGAGAGGTAAAGGCACGTCAGCGTATATGACGGTTCCGTATAGGATGCAGGTTCGAATCCTGTCAAAGAACGAATATTTTCTATGAAAATTTCTCGGACATTCAGGCCGGTAAATGTTATTTAATACTGTTTATCATAAACAGAGCATTTGCTTAAATACTTGTATCTATAAAATAACAACGTTAAACATTAAAAAAAAAAAAATGTCTTTAATACACTGTTGATAGTAGACACAGTAAGGAAACTACAGAAAATACACCAGAATCCGAAATCGCATTGGGATAGCGAAAACTAAGCAAAATATTAAGGAACAAAAAAATTTCGTTAGAAATAAAGAAAAGAGTGCTCAGCTGTTACGTAATACCAGTCCTCCTATGTAGCAGTGAATACTGGACAATCTCCTCACAGATGAAGAAAAGACTTGAAGCAACAGAAATACCGTTTCTACAGAAAGATGCTGAGAATACCATGGACTGAACAGGTGAGAAACGACGAAATTTTAGAGAAAATGGGAACGAAAAACTCACTTATATTTAACATCAGAAAGAGACAGTGGAAATTTCTAGGGCACGTAACGAGGAAAGAGGGCTTAGAAATTTTGATACTCACAGGACAAATTTAAGGCAAGTGGGACAGAGGAAATCAACGCATAACCGATCTAGTGAAGTTGTATGGCAGAACAAAGTTTAGGAGAGATAGCGAAAAGACAATTTTCTAAGAGCTACAATGGACAGGAAATTGTGGAGAACTATGATCGACTACACCAAGAAGGGACACAGGCATAGAAGAAGAATGATCTTGTGTAAATTGATGATGAAACAGAGTTTAGAAGAGATAGCCAAAAGACAAAATTTACTAAGAGTTACAAAGGACATGAAATTGTGGAGAGCCATGGTCGCCTACGTCCTGAAGAGACACCGCCCATGGAAGAAGAATTAGCCTGTGTTAATTTATAGTGGAATAGGGTTTATGAGAGATAGCAAAATGACATATTTCCTAAGAGCTAGGAAGGACAGGAAATTGTGGAGAGCCATGATCGCCAACACCCTGAAGAGACATGGTACATAGAAGCAGATGTTTGTCATAAAAAGTCGCCTGTCGCATAAGTGTCCTAAGAAATGAGATTGTTGTGCAATGCAGTAGTTAGTTTAAATCGATATTGTGCCTCTGAAAAATGTCGCTTTTATCGTGGTCGCCAGCGCTTCTCGACCTTTTATACTCGATGTAGTTCAAATAATTTTAAGCCCAAGCCCCGAGGACCCTTTCCCCCAGGCATTACCTCTCCTCCAGGAGGTGGCTGTGTTTATTGCCTGGCGCCTGAAGTATCCCCAAAAAGAAAAATGACACGGGAGCTTGGGCAAATTTTCTACGGTATTGCCGTTAAACCCACTTTAAACTGACTTTGTGTCACATTCGGTAGCGACATGGACGCACTGAAAAATACTCGCTTCTCGGCCTTTTAGCTGAGATCAAAGTGTAGTATCTGTTCTTATCAGCTTAATCTAATTCTCTCTCTCTCTCTCTCTCTCTCTCTCTCTCTCTCTACTTCTATCTTTTCTTTCTTTCATTTTCTCACTGAAACCAGTTAGTGACTTTTCTCTCTTCACACGATCAAAACGGAACAGCACATTATTTATAAGATATTTGGAAAGTCCTAACAGTCTTGTGAACTAACTAGGGCAGGGAAAGCAGAATTATTATATAATGCTAGGTTCACTAAAGAGGTCCTCATAGCCCAACATATGCTCTAATTCCTTTAGACGTCTAGCTCTCCAGTGTTCTTCCTTGTCCAATATCTTTACTTCATTCCACAGGGACTGATCGATACCCCTTTCCCTATATACATCAGTATATTGTTTAATTCTCCTTCCCATGCTTGGGGCATATTTCATATTAGTTCCACCGCTAACTCGTCTAAGAGATAATTCATTAACATTGTGGGGATAAAAAAAGGCGATGATGTCCCTTACTGGAATCAAAACACACGAGTTCTTCGTCCTGCCATGTCTTGCAGCTTACAAGTCCTTGACGCTGTTTCCATTTGGGAATATATCTTCTCCAGATATAGAAAGAGACTCCTCAATTTGGGAAAACTCAAGACTCTCCGTCCCCTATTTGTGGAATATGTTATCGCTTGGAACATAGTAGATGAATCCAGCCTTTTTGAATCTGGAGTCCTAAACATGGATTCACCAGAAACACAGAAGAATTTCCATTTTATATGTAAAACCCTTCTTTCTGTTCTCCTTTCACTCAGCTTGCTGTGTAGATATTTGTTACATTTCTCTGTGCATCTCGTTCCGCCCGTGAAATATGGTTTATATTTATCATGTATATAATGCCCATAATTCATTGTGCAAAATATATATATTTTGTCAAAAATATGTTGGAAATATGAAATATATTCTTTATGAGATAGTTTTTTTAATGGTTGTTTCATATAACATTAAAAGGCATTCTTAAGTGTTATTTACAAATAACAAAGCGCATGAATCTTGTACCCAAAAAGTTTGCACTATTTTGCATTGCGCAACGATATAGTTGGTAACCAAATTTATAGTTCATAATTTTAATTGTTGCAAACACTAATCATGAGTAAAAGAAAGAGTTATGAAGCAGGTTTTAAAATAGATAAACACTTTTTTTTCTAAATGTACCGTAACATTTTCCTCTATAGTTATTTCTTTTTTCTTTTCTTTCTTTTTTTGTCGCAAAATCTATCTATCTATCTATCTATCTATCTATCTATCTATCTATCTATCTATCTCAGTATATATTGGTTTTATTAGATATTTGGAAAGTCCTAACGGTCTTGCGAACTAACTAGGGCAGGGAAAGCAGAATTATTATAATATGCAGTAAATATAAAATCACCAGTACAACAGTTACTTCCTTTAGTTTACATGATGATTGACGAAATGCATTTTAACTGCAAAAGTGTATTAATAATTGTAAGTTTTGAAATAAAGGTAGAAATAAAGTTAGATATCTGATAATTCTTACATTTAAAAAGGGGCTGTGTATCTCCCGAGATTAAAGTCCGACTTATCTGCGTGTCAACAGTAAATCATCCATTATTAAGCCATAAAGTAGTGGGGGTGACCTATCCGGTGGGGCGACCTATCTGCGAGTATATACGGTATATTGATTGTATAGGTATGTATTATAACCGTTTACAATTATCTAAACCTCTCAAAAGGGTCACTTCATATTGTATGTATAAGTGTACATTAGGAATCTTTACGACAATCTTAGCCTCTTAAAAGAGTCAGTGTATATTGATTGTATATTTGTGTATTATTACCCTTTACGACAATCTAAACCTCTTAAAAGGGCCAATCTATATTGTACGTTGTGCATTACGACGTTTTACGACAATCTAAACCTCTCAAAAGGGTTTAGGCATAATGTATATATAGTTTTGCCTCATGACCATAATAAATACGTAAGTTGTTTTCTGGGTTCGAATATTTAGCAAGCTACTTTTATTCGTGTTATTTATGCAGGCGGAGCATTTTATAAATATTTGTACACTTCGCTGGCTAACTAGTATATGTCTGCCTAGCATGAGTACAATGACCTCATATCTTTGAATGCGGACTCTTAGGAAAGTATTAATTTACATCTCGACTGGCCAGATACTCTAATTTTATATATTTTTATTTGCAATCGCTAACGTTTCGGTGTAAAAAAAATTGTTCTTTGCTTTGTAACGCACAAAACCTGTCATGCTATGTTTTTGTTCATATCAAAGAGTGTAAACAACATACACCTTTCACATTTTGCATGTATAACATCAACATATGTCTGCATAGAATAGTATAATTTATATGTTGTCCAAATGAAGGCACCAATGTATTAGAAATTGTAGAAGTGATCATGGACATTTTTGACAAGTTTTAAAATGGATTGCAATGACAGATTTACTTGCAAGACAATAACCTAAAGTTAGTCACGAAAAATGAAAATTACTTTTTTATACTTAAAGCAAGATTTAGATTATTTTTAAAGTCCATTTTTGTCATCTAGAATTAACTTCGATGACACTATGTTTGATGCCTGTCGACAGTTTTGTAATTAAAAAAAAAAAACAACCAAAAATAAAGTAGCCGTTATAGAAATAGGATTCGAGGAAAATTAGTTAATGAGCTATATTTTGAAAAAAAAATATTACTTAGTTTTTATTTAAAATATAGTGGTGAATAGAGGAGCGTGCCGTGGAATCAGAGCGAAAAATAGGACATGAACAGTGCCGGTTTGTTAAAGACATTGGGATAAGGAATGCTATATTTATGTCCAAGATGATATCAGAAAGACCAATGCAAACGCAAAAGCATGTATACCTATGTTTTAGAGATTATGTAAAAGCCTTTTATAATGTACGTCACAAAGAACTGTTGGAACAGTTAGCTAACCTTGAGTTACGTAGGGAGGATATTAGAATAACCCAGAACCAATATTGGCACGTCCTGGGTATGACGATAAACTACACCCGCGTCCTGGGTATGACGATAAACTACACCCGCGTCCTGGGTAAGAAAATAAACTACACCCGCGTCCTGGGTAAGACGATAAACTACACCCGCTTCCTTGTAAACTACATCCAGCAGCAAGGCCTTTGATCAGACGGTTTTAAGGAGCATGGAACCACCTGTTAATTGCTGGTGTTCTCAGGTCCACCCTGACCCTGTGTGTTAGCACCTGTTAGGTTCCCAGCAATGGGCAAATAGTTAACCACCAAAAAGGGGTCAAAACACTATGAAAGTATAAAAATAGGTTTTTAATACCAGCAATACATTTTTGGAAAAATTTTTACCAACAATAAATTTAAAAAAAAAAATATTATTATTAATTCATTTAAAAAAAAAAAGATATATATTACTAGCAATACATTTTTGGAAAAATATTACTAGCAATGTATTTTCGAAAAAAAATATTACCAGAAATACTTTTTGGAAAAAAATATTCCCAGCAATAAAAATCCTGTCGGCATTAAATAACCCATTGAGGCTGATATTCCGTAAAACAAAACAAACCAAACCAATATACACTGAGATAGATAGATAGATAGATAGATAGATAGATAGATAGAAATAGACTGGGATAGATAGATAGATAGATAGATAGATAGATAGATAGATAGATAGATAGATAAAAATATTACCAGCAATAAAAATCTTGTCGGCATTAAATAATCCATTGAAGTTGATATGCCGTAAAACAAACCAAACCAAACAAATACTGACAGCAAACCGTCTGTATACGGATCGGAAATAAGTCCAGTAGATATACAAAAAGAGAAAAGGGTGTAAGACAAGGATGCATCTTCTCATCAGACCTTTTCAACGCATGCAGCAAGGTTATTATGAGAGAGAAATCCTACCAGGATTCATTATTGGCGGCCACAATCTTAACAGCATAAGACATGAAAATGACACAGTGTTGATAGCAGACACAGAAAAGAAACAAGAACTCCTACAAAAAGTAGTGAAGGATAGCTAGATGAAAGGACTATTGCAAGAAGACTGCATGGTTGTTATCAAAATGAACAACCCAGCATACAAATTACAGACTAGAGATGCCGAAATCAAACAGGTGCAACAATTTAGATATCTGAGAAGCGTATTAACAGAGGACGAAACGTGCGAAACGGAAATCTGAAGGCGCATCGAGATAGCGGAAGATGCCTTCTAAAAGCTAAGCAAAGTATTAAAAAATAGAAAAATATCGTTAGTAACAAGGAAAAAAAGGGTTTTAAACTTATGTAATATCAGTCCTCCTCCATGGCAGTGAATTCTGGACAGTCTCTTCACACATGAAAAAGAGACTTGAGGAAACAAAAATATAGTTCTACAGAAGAATGCTGAGGATAACACGAACCGAACATGTGACGGAGTTCTAGAGAAAATAGCAACAAAAAGGATACTTAAACTTAACATCAGAAAGAGACAGTTAAAATTTCTAGAACACATAACGGGGAAAGAGGGTTTGGAAAACTCGTAAGACAGATTGAAGCTAAGAGAGCCGAACAACGCATAACTTATAATCTAGTGAGCTTGATCGAATGAATGGCGAGGCAGCCTTTGGCGAAAAAGACAAAAGTTATTAAAAGCTTCAAAGGACAGGAAATTGGGAAGAGCCATGATCGCCAACGTGCTGATGGGGCAGACAGCACATAGAAGAAAAACAAGTGAAAAATTCTTCTGTTTACTGCGGTAGATGGGAGATCTGTTACCTTCAAAAATCAAGTGGGTACTGAGTCATTTTCAATTATGAGCTTTTGAAATTAAATGTTGAAAAAAATATGCTTAAATTTACGAGTCTCTAATAAGACAATTGAAGTAGGGATGATAAAAGCGACAAAACCTATTATTACCTACATTGATAAAAGTATTTTGCATTAAAATACTGTCACATGACCGGAAACAGTGGTAAAAACAGAAATAATTGGGGAAATTCTTCATCTACAAATTTCATTAAATAAATCGAAATATGTTCACACTTAAACTATACGATATGAAGCTAATTTTTTCTATAACGAAGAACAAAACAAACTCTGAATATTATCTGTTTATCAGGCATGAACCTGAAAATACTTAGCAGAGATAAGTGACATTAATCTGCTTAGGGATTATAATAGTGTTTATGGTTTTAAAGCAACTGTTCACGCTTAATACCAAATATCAACATACTTGTTTATATAACGGGATAAAATGCTATCAAAACCCATCAGCTGTCAACAACATTTAATTAAAATTGAATTAAAGGGAAATAATTCATTTTCGCTGATGATGCAAACCTGTTGACATTGTTGCGTTTATTTACCTGACCTTACCATAAGTTGTGACACAAGGTCGCCTTTTTATGCGTGTTGCACATACACAGGCATATGGCCCAAGAAGCTTTTTTCTCTGGTGCTCCGACTTTAATTAAAGCGTTCTACTAGATTGTCATCTAGGTCCCACCCGTTTACTGTTGAAATAGCTAAATACAACCGCCACTTCTATTCCAATAGTTTCTTCTCTCGCACTTCCCGCCTGTGGAACTTCCTTCTATTTAATGGTTTACCTGATAACTACAATCTTCGAGATAAATGTAACGTCAATCGCCATCTTCTGTCTTCTTGAATCCCGTCCATCTTTTGTTCTTTTCTCATTCCTCCCCATACTCTGTCTTTTCTCTCATTTTCATTCCCTGTAACATCCTGCGTACTAGTGGCATTCCCACCTTGCTTGGAGTGAAATGAATAAAAACAAAACAAAAAAAAAATGTCGAGTCCATTATCAAGCTGACACCCACCTCTCAGTGAAATGAGGAATCTGCTATTTCAGGCTTGGAATTCTCGGGACCGTGCACTTTCTCTCATCTCAATTGAGGAGAGAACTGATACTACGCTTTGATCCCAGCCCAAAGGTCGGGAAGCGATGTTATTTACCTGGGTGCACAGTAATAATAGCACAAGTAAATAGCAGAGGTAAAAATGGCACAATGCTCGGAATCAGCAGTAGTAGTCCATTCTCCAGCAAGTTGCAGATTTTCAAGTCTTTCTGGTACTTGTGGACAGAGTTTTGTTCTTTGGTTAGGCAAAGTTCTTTCTATGATGTCCTCACTTGGAAGTAACGCCTTTGCCTCAGTTGGAAAGTCATCCAGGTCATTACTATAAATCTGATTAGGTTGATCTTGTTTCTGCTGATTTTCTCTTCATGTTGTTGATGCATTTTCTGAATGCAATAGCTGCATAATGAGGAGTCTGAATGCGTTTTTTTAGCTGGTACAGGATCAGTCATATCAAGACTGGTGGTCATGGAACAGGATCAGTCATATCAAGGCTGGTGGTCATGGAACAGGATCAGTCATATCAAGGCTGGTGGTCATGGTAAAGGATCGGGCCCCTTCTCCCATCTCAAGTGTGGGTAGAACAGACACTAAGACCGTGAATCGATTTTTGAGTTGCCATCGCTTCTCGTCACACGTCACTTCAAACGCTGGACCTAGCGATGAGTATTTGGGTGGTAAAACGGAAAGCAAAATTTATGGAAGTCGAGACGGGGATACGGAAACGTGAGTAAGAGATGCAGACAAAACATTAAGTTAAACTATGATGTCTTTAAAGCCCACTCTTTGCAATACGATAATCAGAAAACAACACAAATAGTATACTTATAGTGGAGGATGCTATTAGCGTAGAGAGCTGATGAAGGGAACCGGTTTCAAATTACGTCCTAGTCTGTTGTTATTTCGCACAAGTGAAAATAGTATGAATCCATGTCTTCCTCTCCCAGATATGGATTAAATAAAAGAATAAACCAGGCTCTCTAGCCTTGGCTAGCAGCTAGTTTTGGAGAAAGACAACCCAGAACAACCGATATAACAGCTTAACGTATATACGCCCCACCCCAGAGCATACACGAGATTATTCGAGGTCAGGCATTTTTTTATACATAGTTAGGTAAGGCCAGTTTATACACACGTGTATACAATGGGCGAGGCTAGAATATACACCCATCTTTTCCCATGTAACAAGATGTATATTATTTATCAAAAAATGAT